GACAAAATCAGTGAACAGGGCAACTGGATAAAAAAAAAAGACACTGTCTTTTGCCCTCCCCTGACACACACTTACATCTTGACACACATAATAATGGTTGGCTGCTAATTTGTGAATACATCTGTTAGTTTCTAGCTAATCCTTGTTACAGACGCCTGCTCAGGCACATTTGCATTTTTTCAACACCCACAGAGCCAGGAGGCATGGTAGAGTAATGTTTAGCGGCTCAGATTGCAGAAAGGTATGAATCCATCTCTTCTCCCTCAGCTATGGGTAAAATAGCAGGACAGTCTGGTCCTATAGACTTGGATGACAACCAGTTTAGTAGAAGAAAACTCTGAATTCAAATCAGTTCACACTATTCTTAAAGTGTGTATACATGCAGCTGGGAACAGCTTGTGAATCCAAATTCCCACTGAAACTCCTACTATAGATTTGTATATCTGAATAATTATCACGTTTGCGACATTTGGTCAGCTTTTGCTTGGATGCAGTGGGTTTGTTTGATGGAGCTGGCTCAACCAACCAGGTAAATGCCACAGCAGGTACAGGTAGGTACAGAGCCAATCTGTGGTTTATACCAGTGATTCTCAACATGGTCCAGGTGGACCACCGGTGGTTGACATAGCATTTCTAGTGGTCCACACAGAGTTCATAGCCATAAAAAAATTATAACCATTTCACAAAAATGTATCTAAATTATTCATACTCTGAAGAATTAAAAAATATATTTTGTTTAATTACACACATGTCCGTTATATTTGAAAATTTCGAAATTACGTATGCATTATACAGTGTTATATTTATTTTAGTTTTTATTATATATATATATAAAATGTTATATATACTATATATAATATAAATTTTTTATTCATATAAAAAATTATTCCTATGTTAATAGATCACTACACAATATTGTTTGATAATAAATTTGATAATTCTAATTTATAGAAATAAAGTATTTATTATTTATATTATTGGATGGTGGAATCTGGATTTTCGGCCCTTGTGGATGTTTTCAGTAGAAAAAGAAATAAATTAGATGTCAACAGCAGAGGAACAATCAAACTAAGACTGAATGACACTATCGGAGTTAGCTCCTCCTTAATTCCCTTATTGTTCACTAGAGGTCATTCTGCCTACACTATAAATTCTTCTTGCCTCATTCTCTTTTTCACTTTGTATTTCAGCGGACACATTTAAAAATGTATTCTCTCATAGAAATCCGCATTGTGGGAAAACACCATGAAGCACACATACATGTACGTACAAGCATTCACCAAAATACAAACTCTTTACGTTCACACACAAACACAAATGTTAATGTCTTTGTCAATTGTAAAATTGTCTTGTTTAATACATATATTTGTTGATATATATATTGGTCTTGTTTGTTTTCTTTACATCTTCGGTTGGACTCAATTTGAGTCCGCCATGTTCTTGTAGTTGGACCTTCTTCTAGCAGGAAATAAACAGTACGTGTTCCTAATCCAATAACACTCATACCTACACAGTCCTCTACAACATCATCAAAATTGATTTTGATATCCTGTGTTTATCCTTGTTTATTAAAATAAATTTTAAAGTGTAAATAGACTGTCTTTTAATTGAGTATTTTAGTATGAAAATCGAACAGCCTAAAATTAAATGTAGGGGTGGTCCATTTGAATTTTTTGAAGAAAAAATGGTCCATGGGCTGAAAAAGGTTGAGAATCACTGGTTTATACCGCAACAATGTTGAGTGGACTTTAGTTACAATTTCTGGGAGAGAGTGCATAATTTGGTGTGATCAGTAGCTGAACAAGGCCAGTACACTTAAACCTTTAGATATTCAGTGTACTGGCCTTGTTCAACTATAGATGATGCAATGTCTCCAAGAAATCATATTACAAATTTGTGAACCAACACTTTATTGATTGATTCATTTTCTACGACAAGAACAATATATATACGCAGATTATTTAAAGTCAGAAAATATTTTTATATCGTATCATTTTTTTTTTTAGAAAATAATGGTTTTGTGATACAAGTCTTACTAATTAACTTATAGCTGGGAGGAGAATAGATAGATTCATACATTTCTCAAAGTTATTTGCATGTAAGTGAATATAATGAAACCAACAGGAATGGGAACACAGCTCTCTGATTAACAATTCTAAGCCATTATCCATTACATAGAGCTCTTGGTATTCTCAAGCAGTTACCCAACTTGGTATTGACCAAGTTTGATGTTGCTTAACTTCAGTGATCGTACGGGAATGCTTTATGTCTGGTTCAACACTTCAATCCATGAGGCAATGGAAACAGGGTGAGCAATAACTGAACAATACTAAAAAGAACAAGACAACATATCCGCACATATGGTCAATGGAATGAGAACAATATATATACGTAGATTAACAGATCGTGATATCTATCAGAGAGATAAAATTTAAATTTCTATTATTGCATTATTCTAAAATTTTAACACATCAGCAGATAGCTATTAATGTCAACAATTGAGCACAAATAGTTATTAATTAAATAAATTAGTAATTAATGTATAATATCCATAACTACATGTAAAGAATGTAATTTTTGGTAAAAGACAGAAAAATAACCATAAATATGTAAAAAATGTGTATATTGTGAAAAAATTCTTTTCCCACAATATAGCTATTTGTGTTATGTTATAATGTTTATTAAATAAACAATAATAATGCTCAATAATTTTTTTTAAACATTAAAGTATATTTAATCACATCACCCTAATAGCTGTCATGATGTGTAAATAAAAGGTTCAGTTGAAAATTCCATGAAGGTTACACAGATCAAAAGACACCTGAAGAAGGCCATAGGACACAATGGATGAAATGACGTGATAACAACAAAGGTGAGGACATGAATCTGAATATACATAATGAAAATAAAGGATGCATATATTACAATACTTTTGTTAAGTACCTCTATTTTCTGTTATACATCTTGCTCTTGCCTCTTTTCTAGACATATATTCATGTAGATCTATAAAATGCAGCCATATTCTCCATTTAGATTTTTGATTTAAAATGACCAAAATAAATGTCATTCCATGTGGTTAGGAGTACATGTAGATTCTTAATCAGTGCTGCTTATTTCAGCATTTAGCAGAGGTAAATTCTTAACCAAATACCTTATGAAGCTCTATATTCTTCTCAGCCTGACTAGACATTTTAGTAAAATGTATCTGGCCAGACTGAGAGGAATACATAGCCACTCCAGTAAAACAAAATCAACATCAGTGAACTCCATGAAAATTGACTTGCTGATGATGGCTCCATAACGAGAAAGGAGGCAGATACATGTTTCTGTGAGAAGATGAGGACAGGATCTATGGAGTAGAGTTGGGACTGCTTAGGAATGCACCTGTGATTCAAAATAAACAAATACCTTTATATCCCTGTTAGCAAGACCAGACACACTTCACCTCAGCATAAGTGCTTATACACCTTGTCTTAAAAATTTGGACAATACCAACAATTCTTCAAAATGTTTGATCAAACAATCAAGACATTTGAAATATAACAATTACCACCTATCCACCCAATATCTGACAGAATAATACAAAAGACCTTCTACTCATAATTCATAATTTACCAGTATATATATATATATATATATATATATATATAATCAAGCCAAAACAAAACACACATGGTCTGAAGATTGCGTTTAAGCATGAAACAGACTATCACTGCTTGGTGATGACCTTAGTGTTATATATATATATATATATATATATATATATATATATATATATATATATATATATATATATATATATATATATATATATATATATATATATATATATATATATATGTATATATATATATATATATATATATATATATGAGGGCATATAAGACCCTGTATATTTAAAATCATGATTTAAAAATATCTCACAGTTCAGAACTGGGCCCTGTGAGATATTTTTTAAGTCATGATTTATATATATATATATATATATATATATATATTATGAAATGGAGAAAGTCTGAATGTCAGAAAATGAAAAGAAGAATGTCTGAAAAATGAAATTTTCATGGGACAAATATTTTCTGTGAAAATTTCTCGGACATTCAGGCCAGTAAATGTTGTTTAATACTGTTTATTATAAACAGAGCATTTTATTAAAGATTTGTATCTATAAAAAAGAATGTTTAAACATAAAAATGTCTTAAATATATATATATATATATATATATATATATATATATATATATATATAAATACAGAAAAAAACAAAATTTGAGTATGCATTATTAATGTTAAAAATAAAGTCGACGTCGGACGTTTCGGTCTATTTAAGACCATCTTCATGGACATTTTCATTTAAACATAATTAACATTATAACTTATAACAATTTAACACAAAAGACGATGGACATAAGAGCCCAACTAATTCAGACAGATAACTGAAATTTTATACAGATCAGCGTTCTGTTTAAATATGATCACGTAGTCGTCACGTGGGCGATGTTGTTAAGACGTATTCGAAGATGATTTCCAAAAATTAAAATATCAAAAAGCCGAAATGAAAAATTTTATAAACAATTAAAGAAATCTCTTCCGTTGATGTTGGAATACGTAGTGATCAATTGGTTCTTATATCCTCAACATCGACTACGTGATCATATTTAAACAGAACGCTGATCTGTATAAAATTTCAGTTATCTGTCTGAATTAGTTGGGCTCTTATGTCCATCGTCTTTTGTGTTAAATTGTTATAAGTTATAATGTTAATTATGTTTAAATGAAAATGTCCATGAAGATGGTCTTAAATAGACCGAAACGTCCGACGTCGACTTTATTTTAAAATTAATAATGCATATTCAGAATTTTGTTTTTTCTGTATTTTTCTTTCATACTGTCGGATTTATATCCATATATTTGCTTATATATATATATATATATATATGCACACCACATTGACCAAAAATATAAAAAGATATAAAAAGAGACAAGATAGTTTTTGGAACCTGATATGAGCTGAATCTTTACAAGATTCCACATTTGGACGTCTCAATCGAGTATCAAGTCGGGTTTGTGCCACTTGCAGAGGAGCTTGTTTATCTTGGATAGACTTTTTGATGAATTCAATATTCTTGTTCATATCAAAAATCTCCTGCAACACCTAAAATAAAACAAAAAATAAAATCTAATCAGAATCTTTCATACATGAATAAATTTTTCAAATTATGCTGAAATGTTGCTACATAAATTTATGAAAAAAAGCATTAGATTTAATTGTTCATCTTTAAATACGAAGTTAAGACAAATTAAGGTCCATTAATTTTGGTTGGAATATTTTTTCTATCATTAACAAATATTAACCAATTATCTGTGGCAACCATTTTCCTCTTTAGTTTTTGAGCCATATAAATACAATGAGAGAAATTGCCATCATGCACCATTAATGCTTGTAGAAGTACGATTGACCCCTTAGCTATTTGTTGTATTACCATGAACCTGTAACTGCAAGTATATGTTCATGGACAAAGCAGAATTATTATTATTATTATTATTATTTTTAGAGTTATTAGAATTATTGAATTATTAGAAAGCAGAAATCAACCTGTATTCCTATATTTTCGATGAAATTTCTTGAACATTCAGATCAAATGACGGTTTCCATATAGGAATACAGATTTGATTTCTGTTGAAGAATGTATATTTTCTACAAAGTTTCTTGAACATCCATGTCAGTAAATGTAATTAATACTGTTTAATTAAAAACAGAGCATTTACTTAAATAAATTGTACCTATAAAAATAACGTATAAGCAGAAAATATATTAAATAATTATCAAATTTAATCCATTTCATTATATACATGCTCCTGAAAAAATTATTTTAGTTGTGCTCTTCATAGAGAAAAGTGAATTTGTAAACAGGGACTATTACTGCTGCTGATGCAAGACTCTTCGTTAAGATGAATCACATTCTCTGGTCACTGGTGTGTTTGCCTAAAAATAAATACATCTAAATTCAGTTTCATCTCTGCCATGCACCAATGGCTTAGGGGTAAAATCTCCAACTTATGCTAAAATCAGTTGGGTTTCTATCCCAGTTTGAGGCATATCACATGTCTAGCTACACTGATGAACTGTGAAACAGCAAAACAGTGTGTCTGTGGATGACTATACATATATATATATATATATATATATATATATATGCCTTTTTTTCACATATATATATATATATATATATATATATACAAGTATATTTGTAGTGATTTTATAACATATTTATGTTATAATTTTTAAATAAATAATTATATATATATATATATTTGTTAAAGAGTATTACAAATATTTATGTCTAAAATTTTACTGGAACTTTGCTTTTGATCATTTGAAAATTTCTTATTTAAGTATTATTTTTGTTTAAAAGTCTTTGTGAAATTCATTGAATTGATAAAAACAATTCTATTTACATGAGAGAATTACAGAAATCATGGGAAAGAATTAAAATATACCAAATCTTTGAAATTTTATTTAGTAGATTGAAGGCATGAAATGGTATGGTTGGAATATCTCATCCTATTTGTTACATCAGACTCAGTTCTAATTTTCTATAGCTGAATTGCTGTAACTTTTATGTAATCAACAATAATTAAATGTCCATCTGTTAATATTTATGATCAGATGATATTTTGTCATTGTGATGCTACTTTTTTGCTGATACAAATTAATTGCTTGCAGTTAAATTTATGTTTTATATTTGTGTTAAGTATTGGGTATTTTGCTTATGTCACCTGCACCACTTTCTCTTTCAACTACACACCACAAGTGTCGTCTATGGAATTACTACTTGCCCCTAGCAAGCAATGTCACCACTTATATAGTAATTGGCAGGTGTTGATACATTTGTATAGGTGTGATGTCCATTTCATCAAATCACAGTTGATGTGTGCACACACCTGTAGACTTTGAACCAAATTTTCTGTTACAGCTGCAGCAACTTGAACACACTTTATACTAGGTAAGTCATGCTCTGTGTTACCACAATACTTTTAATTGTATCAATTTAATACTAGCATTTGTTATTGGTACTAGATGCAAGTGTTGTGCCTATTACTCTTCCTCGAGACTGAACCTGAAATATTATGGTTGTTGATGGCTGACTTGCAAAGCTCGTAGCTGATCACATACTACCTGATATTGCAAGAAGTACAAATGATCTACCTGGTTTTACTTGTTCTACATTTTATAGACTTTTAATTGACATAGTAAGGTAGTAGAGTATAGGTGGTACGGTGGAGTAATGGATTGCAACTTGGATTGAGAAATCGAAGAGCCAAGTTTGAATTACATTCCCTTAAGTGCTAATACCCTTGGGAAAGGTATGAATCCTATTCTTCTCCCCCAAGCTATGGATAAAACATAGGATAGACTGGATTCTATAGCCTTGGATGGTAACTGGTCTACCGCAGAAAGAAATGGCAACCTACTGCAGGAAAAAATCTGTCTCATCAGTTATGTATCGAAAGATACATGATTGCCTAAGTGTGTATCACGCATGACACATAACTGACTGACTGACGTGCTAATACCCTTGGGAAAGGTATGAATCCTCTTCACCCCCCCAACTATGGGTAAATAGCAGGACAGACTTAGGATGGCAACTGGTCTGCCACAGAAAGAAATGGCAACCTACAGCAGGAAAAAAATCTGTCTCACCAGTTATATATCGAAAGATAGATGATTGGCTAAATGTGTATCATGCATGGCACATAAGTGACTGAACGTAGTAGGAGCACAACACCAGCAGTGGTAGTAACCCAACTCTCCAAGACAAACTAAAATACAAATCAAAGGTGATGCTTCTGCCATGCGTGTAATGGCAAAAAAAGATATAAATCCAACAGTTTCAGTTTAATTACATGATAGCCTGTGGTGATAAACAAGATAGAAGGATTGTGAAGAAATAAAGACAATCTTATGTTCTCTGCTACTGCTATGATCACTATTGAATATTATGCTCTAGTGAAGTAAATGTCACAGGCTGCATCTCAAATAAGTCATGTCTTCTGACAAGTTTTCTTCATCTATTTTATTATTGCTCTTTATTATAACACACTTTTGCCCTGAAAATTAAACTGTGAATTCAGAGCAAAATAACCAGCTTTAGAAACTTGATCATCTTCTTTAAGGCAAATGCTGTTAAAGACAATAGACATTTTGTCTCGATTAATTTTATTGATTGACTTTTTCAAATTATGAATAATCCTACTCAGATAAGAGGGAAATTCCATCAGAAATTGTTCAAAGTTAATTTTAGAAGAAATATGATCCAAGCTTTCATCTTTCTTAAGGAATTATCATCTACCTACACTAAATTATTACTACGTTACTTAAAAATAAAAAATGAACAAAAATAAATAAATAGAAAATAAAATAAAATAAAATAAATAAGTAAAATAAAATAATCCAAATCAATAAATAAATTAAGTAAATAATAAACAAATTAGCAAATCATGAACACACACATAAACACAAGTAAATGTAATAGTAATAATCGACAACAAATAATAAAGTAATTAATAATAAATGAAGTGTAAAAAGTTAACAAACTACACTATAAAATAGCCACAAAACTGCATTCAGATCCACAATTATTTCCACTCAATAAACACTAGACTAATCTGATCATGTTTCTCATCATGGCCGATATTTTAGATCGACGGTTCTGATCATTTTTTTGATAGTACATCATTTTCATCATCATTTCAGAATTTGATTCACCTTCCAAGATTTTTTAATTCAAAAGGTATATTGTTGTGGGTATTGACACTTGCTTTTTATGAAATTTTTGTAGACCCACAAACAATTTTGGGTGAACTTGTGTGAGTCCACGGAAAAATAAGAGAGAAATTAAACAAATAAATATTAACAAATATATTGACAGGACATTTTACAAAAAGGTAAAATGAGAAATTAAATTTAATGTGAAGAGTTCAAAGCAACCTTTAGTGACTGTAGTTGAGCTGCTTACATGTTGGCAGGAATGAAAAGAATATATCTTTTCACTATGAAAAGTCACTGACTAAGAGATGGATTCTTTCAAATCTTGTGCTGCCTGTTATTATTATCAGGGGACAGTAATTCAAAATCTCACCTACTTTGATTACCATCAGGGGGCAGTAATCCAACAGTAAATAATTGTACTTTGTAGGAAGATCAATATTGAAAAACTTTTAATCTACCTGTTTTCACAATTCTGTCTTGAAATCCTAAAATTACTCCCCAGAGAGGAATTTTGGGGTTGGAAAAAGTTACCTTAAACTGTAAGGCTAACAAACATATGATGATCAAGCAATGATTTAATTTGTACTTTTTCGACCACTGACTCTTTCTTCTGACTTACCTTATTAATCACCTGGTAGTCATAGTAATAGTAATATTTGGAATCTGTTTTGTTCAGCTAATAAATAATAACTGCAGGAATTTAGAAGGACAAGTTGCTGTAGATAGAACTTGATTGCATATTCCATACTTGAGTAAGTCCATCTTTCATAGATGACACCTTAGATTAAAAAAATGTTGTGACAAAAAGCAACAAATAGACAACTTGATAGGATCCATGAGCACGGATGATCCTCTTCCATTTCACCAGATATCAAGAAAAAATGTTAGATTTTGAGTTGCATTCAACTGAAACTTCATCCAGGTTTCCTATTTGGCCAAATCAAAACAAGTTTCTTTTCAGGCATTTATTATAAAGTTATGATAATTCTAATATTCTAATTGAAAATTCTAATATGTATATGCTATAAAATAATGTAATCTTTAAATGCTTCATCTAAAAGTCTTAAAACAAAGTATTTTGTAGGCATCTGCTTGATTTTGGACCAGTTTGACTTACATTTATAGAATGGTTTTTTATAGTATTTATATTGTGGCTATTCACTATCTCCAAAGAAAAATATTCTTAATGTTTACACAAACCATATCTTGATAATGCTAAGTTTGATTTGGAATGTATGAATGTACAAAACTCCTCATTTGGGATTACCATCAACTGCTTTATCACATTCTTTTTAATCTTATCCATGGTTTGAAATCTTCTCCTTTCAATGATGGATTTAACCATGTGAAAATTCAGAAGTTGCAGGTAGTCAAATTATGAAACATAAAAGGGCTAACAGATCTCAGTGTTGTAATATTTAAAAAAAAAAAAACTAGATGTAAAGAATGAGCCGGGAAGATATTGGAAATAATTGAAGACTTTGTGGACAATCTTTGAATACTTAGATTTTCTACAGAAGAATGCTAAGGATATCATGGACTGAGCATGTGAGCAATGATGAGGTCTTAGAGAGGATGCAAACAAAGAGGAGGCTTACACTTAACATCAGGAAGAGACAGCTGAAGTTTCTGGGACACATAATGAGAAAAGAGTGCTTGGAGAATCTGATGCTCACAGGTCAAATAGAGGGAAAAAGAGACAAGGGAAAGCAGCACATGACATACCTGGAACGCTTGAGCAGGTGGATGACAGAACATGGTCTTGGGGTGGGGGGAGCAGAGAGATGGAACTTACTTTCAACAGATTTATCAGGACTCTGTTAATTGAACTTTCCACAAAAGATTTAATTATTTGAAGAATTTCTATGAGTGATCATCCAATTTTCAAGCAAATATTTATTGTAAATGCAATACATACACAGTAAAAAAGCTCACTCAGAGGTACCCCACTGTTGAATGTGTAACCTGATGGGAGAGTTTTTTGTAATGCTATGTTAATAACATCTGATACAAATACAAGAATAAGTTGTTCATGCCTAAAAATAAATCTCCTAAGCTGGCCAAGTATAACATTGAATACAATATGGGAACCAGTAATACAGAGAGCTAGAGAAAAAAAAAAACAACAATAATAAAAATTGTAATATGAGCATTGGTAAAAAATTGTTACTGAGACATTAGGTTTATAAGTCCCCAAAATTCATACACTGATGTTTCCAAGGACACATGACCCACTTGATAAAAGTGTTCGTTGAAGTAATTCAGTGACTTGACCCAAGTGAGTTCACCACAGCATAGGTGAACAAAAAACTTGGGGAGTTGAGATTTTAAAAGAAAAGGTATAGAACATGCGCTAAATAAAGGTTCAGTTTGAAATTCCAACATAAAGAAGATGGGTCATTGAATATGACAATAAAGATGAGGTCAACAGTCCAAACAATGTAAATAATGTAAATAATTACAATACTTCATCTCAGAAATATAGACAGATATAAAAATAAGTGCTTATTCACTTCTGGACTCTGTCAAATTAACATTGGCCAAATCAAGTGAATTCTTTCTTTGAATGTTTGTAAGGATATGAAGGATTCTATCACTCCCTTGCTTGTTGGGCACTTTTATAACTTCCTGTTGTTTTGTGTGTGTATATCTGGATGGTATGAATAATGAAGAGTGGTCTCCCCTTATTTTGTTACTCTCCTCTTTGAAAGAACTATTTCTGTTTACTAGAACTGTAAAAGGACATTATACATGAACCTTGTATTCTCTGTTGAATAAAGCTTTCTTAAAGGCTACATCTGTGTATTTTTGTCATTACAATGGGTTCAATTCTTTGTTTGTGTTGATGCAGCCCAATTTTGCACTTGGCATTAAGGTAACCCTCTAGGTCAACCCTTGAGACTCCTATATCATTTCATATTATAAAATGACAAGGAGTATGAAACTTTAGTATCTCTTAAGGTGGATTCTATATATATTGGCATCACCACACATCAACTCATTTTAGATTAAAGTTTCTGATAGAGATTAAATTTGATTAAAATGACAAGGAGTATGAAACTTTAGTATCTCTTAAGGTGGATTCTATATATATTGGCATCACCACACATCAACTCATTTTAGATTAAAGTTTCTGATAGAGATTAAATTTGATTACGACCTCTGGTATTCCCTGACATAAATCAAATACTATAAATGACTATGCCCTGATAGTCAGTAAGGTACCTTATGAATGGTTGCCATGTGATATCCAGGACAGTTTTCAAGATATTCAAAATGTTGTGGACAGACGCCATAAATAACAGAAAACTGCCAAACATCAATTGAAATTAAAATAAATAAATAACAAAAAGAAAAGAAAAATCTAGAAATCATAATTAATGTGAATCACCTTTTGTCTGGCCAATGTAGACTTGGTTGAAATAAAATTAATTTTTCTGATGACACTTTTATCAGTGAATAAAATTTAAAATAAAATTTAAATTAAAATTAAAATTTATTAAATTTAAACTTAGATTAAAAAATGTTTAAATCATATTTACCATCAACTGAAATACAAGTGTTACCAACTGATGTTTGTCTGTCTGTTAAAATAAAAGGATACAAGAAGGAAAGAAAAAAACAAACCTTAGACAAATGTGTTTGCAGTTTATTTCGAGCATCTATGGTTTCTTTGATGCGGTCAGTCAGAGCTTGATTGGTAGAATTCCACTGGTGCCACATATCATTGCAGCATGTGTTAAGAACCGTATCTATTTCATTACGGAGATGTTTTGAAGTTGCACGCTCAGCTTGGGAACGTTTGATATTATTATTAGTGAACATACACCAAGTTTCAGGAACAGACAACCTGAAAAATTTCAAGATCAGTTCTTTAAAACCAAAATTAAAATTTAAATAATACAATCTTACAGATGTAAAAATTATATATTTGCAATAATAGTAACTTAGTAATAGTTTGCTAGACACTAATAGTAGTACTGTATTGAGCTAATGGAAGAATATACTAAATTAATTTAAATATATGTGGAGGGACTGGTAGTAGTAGTAGTAGTAGTAGTAGTAGTAGGAGGAGGAGGAGGAGGAGGAGGAGGAAGAGGATTTCAAGTCAAGGTGCCAGCCTGATGGTTGGCATTCTTTTTTTCTTTCTTTTTACTTTCTCTCCTATTTTCAGTTTTGTCTCTCAGGAGCAGGTGTGTGTTTAGGGGGTGGGGGCAATGGACACCCATCTTCAACTAGTACACCATTCAGCAAAAATATCAAAAACCAGATCTCAGCCAGATTCATTATATATATTATACTATTATGATCAGTACTTATAGTAATAGTAATAATAATATAATGTATATATATATATATATATATATATATATATATATATATATATATATATATATCAGATCAGAGTAGATGACTTATTCAATGGGTATAGCCTAAACCTGAATTTTGACGTATAAGTCTTGTAGTCCACATGTGGAAACACAATTTATGGTATTTTAGAACTGTTGTTTCTTAGCTGCCAGGAGAATAGTTTGAAGTTTTGCAAGAATTAGAAGAGTCATTTAGCATTGGCAGATAAAGCCATGGTGAAAAGTGATTTAGAAAAATACAAGAGGTAATTTGATCTTCCATTCAAATGGAAATGGTTGAGTTGTCAGAATGAGTAAGAAGTTATCTAATTTACAGGTCACATCTTAGTAAATTGAAAAGCAATAAGCCATGAGTTAGACATTAAGTGCCAACAGCTGAACATTTATACTAAATAAACCAGTCTCGTTTCATATTCAGCACACCTGACTTAGATGTCAAGACAAAGCCAAATTGGAATAAGAATGTTGTGAGGGAAAGACATTCTAACTTGAAAATCAGCATTTAATCATTGGGATTGGCGCTAGTGAAGAATATACAACTATCTAACTCTTTAAGCAAGTTCATAGTTATTTACCTACTTATTAATATTAGTTTAGTATGACACAAGGCCATAGACATTAAGCAACCATGAGGACAGAATTTATCACAAGTGAATGGTTTGTATGATAAGCTTATTAACCATCACTCTATGGCAACATTTCTCAACCAGTGCGCCCAGGTACACTCTGAAATATAGTCAGGTGCAACCCAAGTTAACAAAAGAGTAACATGAATTATTTTTATATTCAAAAAAATCTTTATTTTTAAAAATTTAGTGATACCAAACACATGGCTTCCATGTCTAAGTCAAGTCTTTGTCATTTAAACTGGAGACTAAATTCCTTAATCTTTAAGAAGGTATGGATAATCCTTTCTCTTTTGCCTTCTTCAAGGGATTTAAATCAGTCATTATGAGCCTCTCAAAAAAAAAAAATAGCAGACTCATCATAAATCTTTTTAATTGAAAACTGTGCCACTTAAATATATAATGTAATGGTTTAAGAATAAATATTTATTTTAGGAGACTTCTTCATTATTTTCCTATTTTCAAATTTCATGACTAATTTTTCCTTATTAAAATTTAAAATGTGCTCCAGAGATTCAGTTATGCTACAAGTGAAGCAAAAAAAGTTGAGAAACACTGCATTATGATAAGAACCTACCATTTAATCTTTATAGGTGTAATAGAGAACATTGATACTGAACTTGATATGTCATCAATAATAGCAATCAATCACATCTTGTAGGCATCTTGATTTTGGTTGGTTGCTAATCAACAAAAATATCTTAAATTCAAATGAACCAGATTGTAAGAGATACCAAAGTAAGTTTTGTATTTGGTGTCATCTAAGAACATCAAAAGACTTAGGATCCCCAGAATTCGATTGACCTAGAAGGTGCCCTCAAAGCAACCAAGTGCAGAATTGGGCCTCAAAGGATGTCAGTGGGTGCATCAACATTAAAAAAGGAAGTGAACTCAGCTGAACTTAGGATATACACACACAAGACAATTGAATAATGTCTTCAGGTTATCCCATCAACCTATGAAGAGAGAGACAAAATTCCTCACATCCTTGCAAGAAGATTGAATTTTAGAAGGAAGACCTGAAATCATATATCATTGACATGGCGGGCATTAATTTGATAGCATCCAAAAGTGAATGAAAAATTACGTTATGTATGAAAAATCTACTCATATTATTATCAGATGTTACTAACATAACATTATACATTTGATGTAGAAAACTTCTATACAAATATAATAAATATTACAACATGTGGGGGTGGTATAGCAGTCATTAGGTTAAGGAATGGAATTGTCAGGCTGTGCTCAGATTGTTGCAGAGTGGATGTGTAGTTGTTAAAGTAATTACCCCATTGTTATATGTATTTGTAGTTGATAGAGAATACCTTTTCTCTCTTTTTACTTAAAATGAAATTAATAAAACATACAATGATAACAACAATAAGACTTCAAGACATGTGTTGATATTAATGACAAGAATCTGTATTTTTCTTTTCATGATATTAATTACTGTATTGGTATTGTATGGGTTAAAAATGTTCTCAGAGTTATTGTCCCTTTTGTTTCATTAAAAGTTTGTGCTTACTTGTTTTTACTTGTTTCAAGAATTTTGTTCTTAAGGGTAGCCTTTGAGACCGTCAACTGTTGATTTTCATGGAGTGATGGGGATACATCTGTGTTGTTTATTTTTACTACTGCTACTGCTCATAGGGAGAGGTTGTTTTTATAATGATGAAGTTTCAGATTTTAAAATGATGAAATATCATCATCATTCTGAACCATAACAGAAGTTCCCCCATAAGAACAGAGTATCTTAATAATTAATTTTTCCATGAAACTGTCCTGCCTGGAGCTGTATTGCTGATGGGTGACTTTTCTTTTGTTGTTATTTCTTGCTGCAAACTATTATGTGTTTTATTTTTACTTTTTTCTTCACTGGGTTTATCTGTATGGTTCTCTTTGAAGTTTGTGCTTACTTGTTTTTTGCTTGTTCCGAGAATTTTGTTGTTAAGAGTAGCCTTTGAGACTGTCAACTGTCAATTTTCATGGAGCAATAGTGATACGTCTGTGTTGTTTTTACTACTGCTACTGCTCATGGTGAAGAGGTCGTTTTTATAATGATGAAGTTTCAGATTTTAAAATGATGAGATATCATCATCATGTATCATCACTCATGGAAAAGTTGTTTTTAGAATGATGAAATTTTTATCTTTATTTCCAGGATGATGAAATATCATCATCATCAGTCATCACTCATGGAAAAGTTGTTTTTAGAATGATGAAATATCATCATCATTCTGGATCATGATAATACTCTATTTCAAGCTATGGTTTAAATAGCATGGAAAACAGTTCTCAAGCCTTGATAAGGAAAACCAGGCTAGATGAAAAACCATGGAGATGGCAGTTGGAAATTGCTCCATTATCTTTCCAAATAATAATCATGAAAATGTAATTTTCAAATGTTAAAGAAAACTAAGTTGTGGAGTACCATGATCACCAACATACTGAAGCAACATGGTGCTTTTTAACAGCTATTATGAATAATTTTAACAAAATTATCAAAAGTCTTGATTATAAAGTGACCCATGAATAGTCATAAAGTAAATTCTGTCAACGTACTTAACTAAGATTTGATAATAAAACAACTTACGTGTTATCAATTTTTTCCAAGCCATTGTGAAAGTTGATTCCACGTGAGGTGTTGCGTAACTGAAAAGCATTTTCATCAAGATTCTGAGCTGTGAATTTGTCTCCTGTATCCTTCTCCAATTCATGTTGAGCAGCTCGATTCAAACTGAAATGAAACAGTTGATCAAATTTATGAAAATTGCATATCAATTGTTTGGCTTTTCACCAATGTGATTTCTTTCTCTATTGAACAAGAATCTAAACCCAACTCGTTTATGAGAAGAAAAAATGAACCTGATTAGCAAATGCCATTTTAAGATGAAATGGGGAAAAAATCTCCTTAAAAACATGATGGTAAAGAATTTAGATTTTCTTTGAAAGATTATCAGCATTATTCATTGTTTCTTATTTAAATGGTAGAAATTAAATGAAAAATAACACAACTCCTTCAGAATTACAAAATTCTCAAATTGATATTTGATTGCAAGCTAACAGAAATAATATATATATATATATATATATATATATATATATATATATATATATATATATAGGCAGGAAATGTTCTTTTAAGACAAATGTGATAAAAAAACAATAGACATTTTGTCTTGGTTAATTTTATTGATCGACTTTTCCAAATTATGAATGATCCTACTTAAATAATGGGGAAATTCCATCAGAAATTGTTCAAAGTTAATTTCAGAAGAAATATGATCCAAGCTTTCATCTTTCTTAAGTCATCATCATCTACCTACCCTAAATTATTACTACGTTACTTAAAAATCAAAAATGGACAAAAATAAATAAATAGAAAATAAAATAAATAAGTAAAATAAAATAATCCAACTCAATGAATAAGTAAATAAATTAAGTAAATAATAAACAAATTAACAAATCACGAATACACACATAAACACAAGTAAACTTAATAATAACAATCAACAACAAATAATAAAATAATCAATAATAAATAATAGTTAACAAACTACACTATGAAATAACCACAAAACTGCATTCAGATCCACAATTATTTCCACTCAAAAGACACTAGACTAATTTAAAACATAACCATCACCACCCACCCAAATAACTGTTAGAATAATACAATAAACCTACCTATGATGCACCACTGATCAGCATATATAAAAAGTCAAGCCAAAACACAACACACATGGCCTAGTGATTGTGTTTAAGCATAAAACAAATTGTTGACCTCAATGCCTACTTTATATTTACACATGCTCTATCCCATAGATATAGTATTTCTTAAAACTATATTTTCATATATATATATATATATATATATATATATATATATATATATGATGGATTCACCCATTGTCTTCAAAGTATAAAAGTCCAGCAGCTTAATTCTTAGAACAGTACAGCCAGTACTCAGATATATAATTTGGTATTTGTAGCGAAGGCTTTGTACAAAGCCAACTATGCTTTTCAGAGGCACCAAATGCAGAGAACTGGTGCACATAGGATGCTACAAGGAGTTGTCCTTTTCCTAGATTAATTGCCCAGCAAGGCTAAATAGCCCACTTTGCCCTATTATTTAGCTCATAGCTGGAGGACTCAAAGAGATAGATTCATCCCTTTCCCAAGAGTATTTGTGTATAAGTGAATGCAACAAACTTGGCTGGAATTCGAGCACAGCTCCGTAATTTCTCATTCTGAACCACTATCCATTATACGACCAGCACATCCATCCATCCATCCATATATATATATATATATATATATATATATATAATGGATATTAGGTGTCTGAAAATGTTCCCAGTATTTTTTATGTTTAAAACCAAGAAAATTTTCTGTACTGTATTCAGTTTCTAGTTTTCTAAATAAAAAGGGCATTGCATATGTGCATGAACCTTATCCAAAAATATATATATATATATATATATATATATATATAAAGTTACTGATACCTTCTGATGAGTGGGCTGAATGATTAAAATGTTTTGTCGCCAAAACTCTGGAGTCAGGTTGCTTTAATATAACATCAATCAGCTAATTGACAAATTTTATATTTGTATGAATTAAATATATATATATATATATATATATATATATATATATATATTTGTGTATTTAGGCAGCTATCCTTCTTTCATGCACATTTCATTGAATATGACAGACAAAGTGCTTTTATTTAATTTTTTATACAATTTCTCATGTCTTCTAATAATTTTTTTCTTTTCAGATGATAAATTATATAAAACAATGTTTGAATGTTTTTTTATCCGAGCACTTTCAGCTATACCTTTAGCCATTTTCAAGGATTAAATATTTTAACTGTTGCATGTATGTTTTATAAAATGTTTTCATTTTTCAAAATATGGTCAAGATATTGTGTCTATGTTCAAAGTTAATATTATTAAATGTTTTTTTTTTGGTTTTATTAATAAGGCTTCCATTATTTTTAGCCTTTTTTTGCATGTAGATTATTTAACAGTTAAAATAAAGATAAAGAGAGAAAAATAACAGAAGTTTACCTGAGTTGTGCATTTGCTCTGTCAATAACGTTTCTGAGTTTGTCTTGACTTTTTTTAATAACTTCAACTTCCTACAAGGAGAAGAAAATAAAACAAGTTTGTTACTTAAAAAAAATTGTTATTTAACATTTTTCTATATAAGTTGAAGTTTCTGTCTATATTTCTGAGATGAAGTATTTTAACTATTTACACTATTTACATCATTCAGAGTATTGCCCTCATCTTTATTTCCATATTGACGACATTTCAGCTGTTGTATGCTCCAACCTTCTTCAGTTGATATATGTTGGAATTTCAAACCGGACCCTGACAGTCCATGAAAGTAGATTATTCTAATTCCACATGCCATGCCTTTTTTGGGACATCTCAGTATCAGTGAATTTCCTTTAGTAACTCAACTTTCCAATTTGTTGTTCCTTCTGTAAGTTGAAGTTTGTTAGTCACCAGCTAAAGCTAATGTCCATAATTTTAAAGTATGAAAGCCTAAAAAAGAAACAAAAAACATAATTAAATTGCATTCCCCCCTCCTGACTACAAACTCAGTTCATAGTTCATGAGTTTGGGTTACATTTTAACACCAATTTAATCTTGAAATATCAAAACTTTTTAACCATTCTCCTGAACGGTCAGTTTTGTATATCTTTTTACAGCTTTTGAAGCTTTGTTCAAAGAAGAAGCTAATGCTGTCAAAGAGTTGAAATAAGAAAAATTAACAATATAAGGCATAACATTCTGGGTTCTTTTTTTTAAAGTTCCACTAGCACCAATTGATGTGTTAATTTTGTTAGTGCCCCTCCCAACCACCATTGTCAGGATTAAAGGTTAAGATTTTCATCTCCATGCTGAGGACAAACATAAATAGACTTCAATAAATTGTTGGTTCAATCATTAAAATAAATGGAGTGATATTATTTTCTCCTTGTCATATTTAATCAAAAGAAGAAATGAATCTAAAAAAGAAACCAAGAAAGAAAATCTTCACATTGCATTAGAAAATCTTTCTTTCTTAGAAGAATTTTCAAAGTGACAACTGAAGACCAGAATGCAATTTATCTCTTGTTTCTACTTATAATTAACAGTGGTTAATGATAAGTTTTTAGCCACCCTTAATTACAGCAATTTTGGCTTGTGTAATAACATATCTTCTTTTTTTTTCAGACAATACCGTGTTAGTATCAAGCTACTCTAATCTATGAATGATAGTTGAGTTATATTTTGCAATGAAAGTTTGTGGAAGAAAGGAAACTGGTAAATTTCAATGAGGGCAAATAATAGGATGGCATCAGTGTGGCAAAACAAATAGAGAAATTGCTAGGTTTTTTCAAGTTAATCATCAAATGGTTAATAATATTGTCAAGAAATTTAAAGAAGAAGGCCATTGTCATGCGAAACAATGTTCAGGAAGAACAAGCATTGTGTCTGAGCAAATGAAAAGGGCGCTGAAGAGGGAAGTCATCAGAAACCGTCGTCAAAGCATCAAAGATGTTGCCAACAGCATGAAAATGTTGCCATATGCGGTGAGAAAGACTCTAAAAGAACTAGGTTATCAAAGAAGAGTTGCAAGAAAGAAGCCCTTGATTTCAGAGGTTAACAGGAACATTTGTATGGACTGGGCGAAAGAATTCAAGAGCAAAGATTATGAATTTTGGCAGTCTGTAACTTGGTCAGAATAAAGTAAATTCTGCTAATATTTGAATTCGAGACAGGTTTATGTTTGAATAAATCAGAATGAAACTTGGACCACTGAATGTCTGCAGGTGACCATGAAACATGGAGAGATTGGAGTAATGGTGTGGGGCACTGTCTGGTTTGGAGGGAAATCTGAGCTGATTCTTGTTGACGAACAGTTGAATGGTCCAAAATACTGTCAAATATTTGAGAAAGGAATACTCCCACTCTTTGAAACCAATCAGATTGACAAGAATGTCTACCTTTTTCAAGAAGATGGAGTGCCATGTCATACAAGCAAAGTAGCAAAGGCCTGGAAGGAATTGCAAAGAATGAAGTCATTGCCATGGGTAGCCCAGAGTCCTGACATGAATCCAATAGAGCACGTTTGGGAGCACCTTCACCGAAAACTTTGAGGGTGTGCAACCAAAATCATGTCAGTGGCAATCTTTAAAGAAACATGCTAAAGGAGTGGCAAAATATGGATCAGACAATTGTTGATAACTTGCTCAAATCCATGAAAAATTGAATACAAGAACTGAAACTAGCAAATGGAGAAACTGCTCTATACTAGTTCCAAATACTGTTTATTTCTGTTGAGTAGGGATTACGTAATTAAATTTTGAAATTGGATGTAGTCTATTTCTCCTGGCTAAAAACTTTTCTTAGGCCACTGAAGGAAAAAGGCCAACAAACAGATATTTGAATTTGTGGATGTAAACAAGCCTTCAGTTTTTATTTATCACCTGTGTTTACTAACAGCAATAGAATAATTATCTGAGTAGATACAATAAAAAGTAACTGAAATTTAGATGAAATACTATATAAAAATGAATGATAAAATTCAAATTTTGATAACTGTTTTTGTTTTTTAAATAAGATCTTATTGCTTACCCAACTGGCACCACATTTTCAGAAAAGGATTTCTTCATATAAGTCAGGTATGAAACTGAGTTTCCTCTTGTGATTGTCTATGATTGGGCATTTTTGAATGTGTTATATAGGAATAAAGTATCACTGCTGACACTTGAGTTTGAATATAGCTCACCAGTGAGCAAACACAAGTGATCCCATTATTCAATTAAATGGCTCACATGACAATAGAAGAAATGCATATATAGTAAGTTGTGTGATGTCTACATTGATTGCTATATTCTAGTCTCTCCTCGATACTATTCGGATCACTCTTCTACACTATTCTCTATCACTATTACTATATGGATTGCATTTCTCTATACTATTTTTCTATTCAAATCACTATACGAATTACTATTCAAGCAATTATTATTAAGCAAGTACTATTAGTGTGAGTGCTATTCAAAAGCATCTGACACCAGTATTGTTCAATGGTATACTATAGTTGTATCAGCAATTACAAAGTCTCTACTATAACGAGCATTACAAAAGTGACATCACAAAAGAAAGGCTTGTAGTTTTCAGGTTTATCCCCACCAGAAGGAATTTAAGATTCAAGGAAGAAAATTCAGATGTAAAACTGCACTTTTTTTATCCCATGACCCATAGGGTTTTAGGGACACCATGTGTACTGCAGCCACAGTAGAAGTGGTGTTCTTTGGGCAAGGCTAGCCTGACAGAGCCCAACCCTCTCCAGCCTGGTTTTGAATTCAGAGTTTTACCTTCTCCTAGACCAGTTGCCATCCAAGGTTATAGAACCCAGTCTGTCCTGATATTTACCAATAGTTGTGGAAAGAAGAAGAGGATTCATGCCTTTACCAAGGATCTTAGCACATAAATGAATGTAATAGATCCGACTGGAATTTGGACTCAATCCCAGCTGCTATTCATTACTTCACCATGCCCCCCACCCTGCACTACTTATTCTAAAATCTGATAAATAACCACTAAGCCTCTTTTTACTTACCTTAATCAAGACCATTTCTGGGGTGTCATGAACCAAATCAATTCCTTGCCTTTTCTCTCGGTTGTAAAGACATTCCTGTGCAATATTGAGTGGATTTTCTGTCTCTAGTAGTGCCTTTTCTACCATTCTCTTGGATTCATTTAGCACTGCCATTTCTTTAAGAAGCTCATCTGTTTCTCGTAGGAGTTCATTCTTCCAAAAGACAATATCATTGATCCGTTCTCCAAGTCTCTTCCCAACATCCGTCTGTGTTCTCTTTGTTTTGTCATCAACTTCTTTACACATGCGCATGGTATCGAATCTAAGACGTTCAGCACCAGTGCGTAGGTGGTCTGACGTGTAATAGTTGTTCTGGTTGGAACACTCCCATTCTTTTGGTGTGTAGCGGGTGTACAATGCACTACGGGCTGACTGATAGATCGAGGGAACCTTGTAAGGATCCAAAGCACTGATTTGTGCACTTCTGCTCAAAGGGTCAGATACACGTTTACACAGTGCCAAGTTAGGATTCGTATTTGATGACTGGTAATAAGTACTGGGTCGCCAGGGTAGGGTTGTAAACGATCGACGTAAGGGTGGAGGTGCATGGTTTGGAAAAATGGATTGTTGCTGACCAATAGTTGGAAGGGACCGGGTCAGTCCAAACATTGGTCCTGTTTGGTAAGTTGCTGTCTGCGTATGCCCAAGATACTCCATTTCAGGTTAGTTTGCTAAAAGCAAAGGAAAAATTAATGAAAGCATTTTAGTAGATTATGTTAGCTTTAAGACAAGCACTTATCTTCTTTACTTTGTTCAGAAATGCAATTAAAGAAAAATATTAAACCTGATTATTTTATCAGGTTGATGGAAAAGTTCCCAACCCTAGAAAAATCTTACAATTGTTTAAAATTTTGTTCACCTCTGGTAAGTCAAGTGTAATATGTTTTTTAGAAGCCTGAGGAGAATTCAGAAAGTTTGGTTGATTTTACATGTCAATCCTTATTTGCTTATCTAATGTTGAATTTTGAAAGGGACCCCTCTGGTGAAGATTGAACTTTGTACTCAGTAGTAATGGTCAACTAGACTAGACTTGCTGAGGTGCTTGAAAATTTGAGAAGATAGGAAACCAGGTCTATATAAGGAAGATTGATTAAAAATGTTGTGGGTTTATCCCACTTGACTTTGCTAAAAACAATCTCTAGGTGATGCTCCTTAAGCCTATAAAAAACATTCATTTCTCTCTATAGTCTGTTTTCTCTTTTACAGCTTTTCAACTCTCGCATTAAGGTGTAGTCTGTGTATGGTGAATGCAGCCACGAGGCTCATATGTGTTTTTCTTTCCCTCTTTTGACTTTTGAACTATTTCAAACACATGTTGATCATGTAAGCTTACACAAATTTCACACACACACACACACGCACAAAAAAAAAAAAAAAAAAAAAAATATGCATTTGTCTCCATAGTCACTTTTACAGCTTTTTTAGCTCTGCTATTAAGATGTAGTCTATATATGGTAAATGCAGCCACTAGGCTCATGCACGTTTTCTTTCATTCAGGCCAGTAAATGTTGTTTAATACTGTTTATTATAAACAGAGCATTTAATTAAATATTTGTATCTATAAAAAGAATGTATAAACATAAAAATGTCTTAAAATAATTGTCGGACTTTGTCCATTTCATAATGTGTGATGTCATTTGTTTACATTTGATACACCATGAGCAGATATGAATGTACGTGAGAGATTCATGGAAGATTGAAGTTTAAAGACAGTAAATTCGACCTTGCTAACTGAACGTGCCTCTGTGGCCAAATCAGTAAATGCATGTCAAGCTAAATGATGGTTCCGTATAGGATACAGGTTCGAATCCTGTCGGAGGACGAATATTTTTTGTGAAAATTTCTCGGACATTCAAGCAGATAAATGTTGTTTAATACTGTTTATTATAAACAAAGCATTTAATTAAATATTTTCATCTATAAAAAGAATGTATAAACATAAAATCTCTTAATATTCAGTATGTAAATGCAGAGTGCGATGTGTACTTCTTAATAAATTGTTGCCATTTTATATTTTTAATTTCACGCATGTGTGTTGATTGTTTTTGATTTTATCGACTACACAGTATGGTAGGGTCAGTTGGGCACTGTCTGTGAGAAAAATGAGCACCATGACACAATTCACTCCACCAAATGGCATGCTGTATTGCTTGGCATTCATGCCAAAAACTCCAATACAAACATTTCAGAGTCTTTGGGTGTCTATCTGAAGACAGTGCAGAGGATTCAAAAAGTGTTGGATGAGTCTAATGGTGATTACGAAGGTATGACAGCTCAAAAACCTCACTCTGATCATTCTGATAAGAAAAGAACTCCCAAATTTGTTGGTTAGGGCCTCAGACTCAAGACAGGGGCCTACATCAAGTGCATTGAGGAGTTAATGCTGCCCTGGAAAACAAAGTGGCTGCTAGAAGACCCTATGTCTGGCAAAAGGACTCTTCACCATGACACACAAGCAGGAGAACCTAGTCATGGCTGTCAGACAATTTCTGCGACCACATCACCCCTTATATCTGGCCACCTAATTCCCCAGACTGCAAACTCCTTGATTATTATGTGTGGGATGCAGTTGAGTGAGAGACCAACAAAACTCCTTGTAACACCAAAGATGAACTGAAGGCAAGGATTATAGCAGCATTCACCAACTTAAACAAGAAGAGTTGCAGGAGATTCTAAGTTGTCTCAAGGCTGTGGTTGAAGCCAGTGGCGATTTTAAGGAATAAATTCACTCTTTAGTATTTCAAGATATTTTTGTGTAATTTTAGTAAATATATCTGTTAAAATAATATGTCAGTGTTTTTTGTTTAATATAGATGATAATTTATCCATCACACCCTGTAGTGCAAATAATGATAATTCCTCATCCCAGAAATTCAGGGGAACCGGAGTCGCACTTGACAGGTGTGCCATATAAAAATCTTATTGCAGACCTCTTAATAATCGCCATGTGTGCCTTGTAATGATCACTATATTTCTCGGTGAGCAAGATTTGTTCCAATTGAGATGAAACTTTTTCCAAAAACACTGAGCTGATTTCCAAGATCTGGTACTCCATACAAACAAACAAATCCTGATGATAATTTCTCACCAACAACCACAACATTAAATGATATGAAATCAAATACAGGACAAAGTTTATACTGTCAGCTATTAAAGACACAACTGTTTTTCAGAAATATCATGTAAAATGGCTTCACTGATTAAGAAACTGCAAAGAGTGTCATACTTTGTGTACAAACTCTAAAAGCACCCCAGCATAGTTGGTATGTCCTTGAACAACAAGGATGCCATAGATATAGGCAACAGCATATAAAGAAAGATGAGCTGTAGCAGAATTAACAAAGAGTGGAATCAGGACCTTATTACCACTCTCAAGATCAAAACTACAAAGGATCTTATAATATCCATGTATAAAATAGCTGCTGAGCTAAATGTGAACTCTGAAACCATCTGAAAGGTGATGCAAGTTGTTCTGAAAATTAATATCATATATCAGGATGCCAAGGTACCTCCTCACAGAATTCATTAAAGCTGAAATTAGGTTTAAGTGTTTAGGTACTTCATGGGTTCATTCAGAGGTATATGAGGATGAAATTTGACAGAGATGGGAGCAAAAGGAATTTGCACTGAAATTTGCCTTAAAAACAAGGAACTTTAACCTGAAAATATACAGTTTGTTTGCCCTCTAGGTTCACTGCTAATAGACGCTCTGATCAAATATTTACAGAGGATGCTGTTTTGAACCACTAAAACAGTCACTAGATGGATGAATTCTATGTGTAAACAAACTTTATGGTTCATCAGTGCTTCTGCTGGTGAATTTCCATTAGGTGCATTTGGATTGGGTGTAGCTCTTTAACTTCTGAGGAATATTTCTATTTCTGGTGTGGTTCTCTACCCTTTGAGTTTGAGGAGTGCCCTCTTAAAGGTATCTACAAAATGCTCCACTTGTCCATTTGATTATAGATGAAAAGGTGGTGTTCTAATGTGTTGAATACCATTCTGTACACAGAAAGCTGAAAATGCAGCCAAAGTGAATACAGTACCATTATCAGAAACTAATATCTATGGGACTCCAAATCGACTGAAGATTTGTTTTAACTTAAGAACTGTTTCATCTGAGGTGAGACAATTCATCTGAAAAATTTCTTACCATTTGCTGTAAGCATCAACAAGGATAAAATAATACTGGATGATTCAAGGATAAGCCAGGAACTGAGTGTAGTTTTCCTGGGAGATTTTGCTGCCATTTGGAAATTAAAATATGTGTGTACCAATACCTCCAACTGCTTGTCTATGTTTGGCCAATAAACATAGCTGCATGCTAGGGATTTCATATGGCTAATAACTTGATGATGATAATGGAATTGCTTTATCACTCTTTTATGTAATGAAGATGGGAAAATCATGCATTACACAAAAAGACATCTGTCGACTTCTGACAATGAAGGTCGATGCTGAAAGAATAGCTGAATTCTTTTATCAGTGCATACTTCTGGCCATTTTGTATGATGGAAGCATATCACTTTTTTTAACACTGTGGCTTCAAGGATCATTGTAGAAGTGACTGGTAATGCTCTTAAAGTGGATGCAAGTACTGAAGTGACTTCTGGCTCTAGAGATAATGCTGTGATGACTGAATCTTCTGGTACTTTATTTTGTGTAGTCATGAGCCTAGATAATGCATCGACATGAACAATTATATTTGTTGAATTATAATTTATAGAATAATTATAATCTTGTTGGGGATTAGTGAATGTATTTGGTTAAATCAGAAGGAAATTTTAGGTGGCGTGTTCATTAACATTCATCCACAACAAATAATAAACAAATATTTAGAACAGGTCATGCAAAACAGAGTTAAAAACAAAAACAAGTAAAAGACACAACAATACGGTAATTTATATACAATTTAAATATATACACATGAGTTATGAATTGGTGATTTGTTATATATTGATGTAATAAGACATGTAGTTTGTTGTTGAGTATGTTTGAATGCTTAAATCAGTGTTTTGATGATTTGTTGTAAGAATTAAACAGTTTGCTGTTCAACGTACAAAAGTATCCGATTTTACAGTTCAAATGTTAGTGTGTGTATACGAGTGTTATGTAAAATATTCTTCAGTTGTACGAAGTTGCGTACCTTGAACTGTTAATTGTTAAAAGTTTTGTTTGTTACAGTTACTAATATGTACTGAATATATATTTCATTTTCTCAAGTAAAGTAAATGAATTTTTAAGAAGTTTGTTTAAAAGAGAGATTGAGTATGCCAAAAGGTTGTTGAGTCAGAGGTTAATTCGTGCGGGAAAGTCAAAGTTTAAACTGGTGTGGAATTGGTTGGCATATCTCTGGGTGTGGAATTCTGACTGGTAAGTTGGTTTGAATTTCTTTCTTTTATAGGTTCTGGAAAGGAAAAATAGGCTCAAACACATTTGAGTGCCAAAGGCATTTTTCACATGCATACTTAGTTTTTTAAGGCTGTTAGCCAATGAGACATTGAGTTTGTCAGAACTAGTGTTTTGATTGGATAACAGGTGTGTGGGTGTAAGAATGGATTGTTCTGCAAAGGGGTGAAAAGGTAACATAGAATATTCCACAATCTAAT